GGGGCTGGGGAGAGGAAACAGCCGGAAGCCACGACAGCTCGAGATACCAGGGCTCAGGGCACCGGCATCGGGCGCGGGGGCTGGGGCCAGGGTGGGCACACTCACGTCGATGGAGCAGCCCAGCAGGGAGCCGCGCTCCAGGGCCTTGAGGATGATCTGGTAGAGGTCGCTGGGTGCTTTGCGCAGCTCATACCACTCGGTGACGCCGCCAGTGAAGTCCTCGAAGCCCTCCGAGGTGCTCCCCCCCGACAGGGCCTCATAGCTGCCATTCACCCTGTGGGCAGCTCCAGGTCAGCCCAATGGCCTCAAGTAGGACCCGGTGAGAGGGCCGGGAGACTCCACCCCCCAGGGTGGGCCGACGCGGGCGCTGGGACCCGACTCACTTGGCATACGCCTTCTCCAGCAGGGCGCTCCAGAACTCATTGCCTTGGGCAGAGTGCACGAACACCAGCTTCCCGTCCTTGATGGGCAGCAGGTCGTCCACGACCACATCCACCCACTCCCCAAACTGCCAGAGCTGCGGGGGAGGGGCACAGTGAGCACCCGCTTGGCAACTCCCACAGGCCTGAGCGCCACCCTTCGCATAGCCACTTTCTTTTTTTTGTTTTGTTTTGTTTTTTGGTGCACCATTCCTGGAATACTGCAAACTCCCGTTCCATCTCCCACTTTCCAAAATCCATGCTTGGCAAACTGGGACTCCCTCGTGGGAAACTGTGGGGGGGGGTTGGGATTGGCAGTTGAGGGAAACTGCTAGGGGAGGAAGGGGCAAACTCATCTACAAGGGTACCTGCATAATCAGCGTTTGTATATCTAACCTTAAATTGTGTTGTACCCCACATCTTTGTAATAATTTTTTTTAAATCCACTCAATATATGGTCCTCAGATAGAGGATGTATCAAATATTAAACTGGTAAGAACAGATACTACACTTGATCTTGGTCAAAAGGCTGAGAAGCGATTGCGTTACCACTTTCTGGATGTATAATTCTAGATCACATATACTAGATACATACTAGACATATACTAGATACATGTATACTAGATTATAATACTAGATACATGTATATATACTAAGTTACATATATTAGATACATGTATACTAAATCATGCATGCCCGATATATACTAGATATCCATATACAAGATTACATACACAAACCAGACATGGTGGCTCACGCCTGAAATCCCAAAATTTGGGGAAGCAGAGGCAAGAGGATTGCCTGAACCCATGGGTTCAAGACCAGCCTGGGCAACATGGCAAGACCTCATCTCTACATTAAATAAAAAATTAGCTGGGCGTGACGCCGTGCGTCTATAGTTCTGGCTACTTGGAAGGCTGAGGCAGAAGGATCGCCGGAGCCCAGCAGGTCAAGGCTGGGGTGGCCATGAGCATGCCCTTGCGCTCCAGCCTGGATGACAGAGTGAGACTCCAACTCAAAAAAATAAAGATTATATATACTAGGTACATATACCAGGTCATGTATATGGGATATATACTAAATGCATGTATACTTGATGTATACTAGATACGGTGAGTATAAATATATACTAGACACATGTATGACATATGAGGGTGACCCAAAAAACCTGGAATTATCTTTTGGAGGGAGGCCCCTTGCAATATAGACATCTTCCATTAGGTAAGTGTTCTAGGAACCCATCTGCATCAGCGTACCAGCTTGTTGTGAGAGGCTGCATCCGACTACACTGAATTTTTTAGGGGGATTCTTTCAACCTGTTTGTCCATTTCATGATGGGTGATTGTGAGTGCACCTGCCCACACCACGCTGAGTGTTCAGCAGTTTTTAACCAAAAACATGTCCTACCCTCCCTATTCATCCGATTTCTTGTCCCGAGTGACTTTTTTTGATTTCCTCAGATGAAAAAACCCTCAAAGGGAAATTTTTTTGCCAATGTGGAAGAGGAACAAAAAATGGCAGAAGTTCTAAAAGGCATCAAATTGGCAAGTTCAAAACTGTTTGGGGCTGGGCACAGTGATTCACACCTATAATCCCAGCACTTTGGAAGGCCAAGGTAAGAGGATTGCCTGAGCCCAGGGGTTCAAGACCAGCCTGGGCAACTGGACAAGACCTCGTCTCTACAATAAATGAAAAAATTATCTGTGCCTGTAGTTCCAGCTACTTGGAAGACTGAGGCAGAAGGATTGCCTGAGCCCAGCAGGTAGAGGCTACAGTTGCCATGAGCATGCCACTGCCCTCCAGCCTGGGCAACGGTGAAACTGCAACTCAAAAACAAAAAAAAAACAAAACTGTTTTGAACAGTGATGAAAGCATCTCGGTAAGTGTATTGCATCAAACAGAGAGCACTTTGAAGGTGACTGAAGTCTAAACAGGTAAAAATAAATACACAATTTTTATAAATAAATTCCAGGTCTTTTGGGGTTCCCCCTTATATATACTAGATACATGTATCTAGATGTTGAAGGAAATAAAAATATTTCACCCCAAAATATATTCATTTGACATATTTTGAGAAAGCTGTTCAGAGGCCCTGCAAAGTGCAACAACCCTGCAAAACTGACTTTTATAGGGGAGATTTGCATCTGTATGGAAAATCTGTAGGGATGCAGCCAGGTTTTATCCAAGGCCTTCCCTCTTCTGGATCTAAGAAAGATTAACTGAGAGTCTGACACCTTTAAAGGTCTGAAGGAAATGAGAACTGCTACCTGTGAGGTTTCACATAACAAGACCACCTTTGCTAGCCAGGTCCCCTCTTCCTCCCTCCCATAACCGGCCTTGCCACTATAACCCGGTTTACCACCAAAACCTGGTTTTGGCTGTGCTCCAAATCCCCATTCTTTTTGTGGTTGTTTGTTTTTGAGTCGGAGTCTCACTCTGTCACCCAGGCTAGAGTGTAGTGGCATGCTCATGGCCACCGCAGCCTCGACCTGCTGGGCTCAGGGGATCCTTCTGCCTCAGTCTTCCAAGTAGCTGGAATTACAGATGTGTTAATTTTTTGATGCTTTTTTTTTTATTATTATTGAGACAAGGTCTTGCCATGTTGCCCAGGCTGGTCTCGAATCCCTGGGCTCAGACAATCCTCTCGTCTCAGCCTCCCAAAGTGCTGGGATTACAGATGTGTGCCACTGCACCCGGCTTAAAGACCCCATTCTTTCTGTAACTTCAAGGTGACCCATAAACTTCTGTACCTCATTGGGGGGCTGGAGTAATTTCTCTGTGATTCCACCTCCCTGCCATGCACCCTCACAAATTTGTATGCCTCTCTTATCAATCTCCCTTGGTGGGTTCATTTTCCAGTGAACCTTCAGAAAGCTAAGGGGAAGCTTTCCTTCACCCCTATGGTATATACTAGATACAAGCATACTACATAGAAACGAAATACATGCATACTAGGCACATGACCCTGGGCAAGAACAGCTCTGAAACAAACCAAGGTGCCTTCTCAGGCATGGAAAAGCTGGAAAGCCCTCGGGCATGGGCTCTCCCCGAACCAGCCCCCTTTTAAGCCATGCTCCCACCTTTTCCCTCTCCGATCTAGGCCTGGGTGTGGGGGGGGTGAAGGGGACACACCTGTCATTGAGTATGAAACGATCCCTCCACCACAAGGTGGGCAGAGCTGGCTCACGCAATCATGGGGCTCGCTCCAGGGGTAGGTTTCCCAGGAGTCGGGGGTCTCAGGCCCCCTGGGGTCAGAAGCAACCAAGTGCCCCAAGGAGCGGGGTGGAACAATGAAGGAGGAGAGGGGGCGGGCTCAAGGAGCCCAGATTGCGGGGAAGAGCGTTGAACGGGCCAATCGGAGGCCAGGGAGGAGCGGATTGGAGGAGCGTGGGAAGGGGGCGGGAAAGGGGCGGCGAGGCCCGCCCCTGCGGCCAAGAGCCGGGCAGGTGTGGCTCTGGGCCAAGGGGGTCCCGTCCGCCACCTCCTCCCGCGCAAGGTGGGCGAGGAGAGCGTGGGTCCAGGCGGAAGGAGGGGTCACCCAGGAGTCCTCCAGGCAATAGGGCCACCGAGGACAGGGGCTGTCCCCCAAGGGTGCCGGGGCGTGTCTCTGTCAATACCAGCTCGTCCAGAATTAATCAGTGAGACTCAAAAAATGGGCCCTGTCCGCAAACAACCGCAGGAAACCAGGCATTTAAACCAGGTTTGAACCAGTCTCGTTAAGACTGAATCCCAAGTCTTTCTTTCCTGCTGGACTCTGTCTGCCCAAGCACAGGAGATGATGGGAAGTGGACAGGCCGCACGTGCAGATCTATTTTCTCCAGTGAAACGCTCCTTTTTCAGATGGGGAAACTGAGACCCGGGGGAGGAAAGAAGGGAACTTGTCCCACGGGATACAACACAGAAGTCTTTCTGTTCTTCCCAGCACTTTCCACCTGATACATACAGCCAACCCCCCCCC